GTGAGGGGGTATTGGGGGGCTGGGGGTGTCAGGGGGTTCTGAGGGTGTTATGAGGGTGGTTTGAGGGGTGTTGAGTGGTTTGAGGGGGTATGCAGGGGTGAAGCTTCCGAGCCCTTATGAGGTTGTGAGCTATGCTGGCACTGGCATATGCCTTCAGCAGGGTCTCCCATGACAGACAGGTCTCAACTGAAAGGTCAGACTAAGTGTGTCCACAGGTAGGATGGGCTCACTAGCCTTCCAGCAACCATCCTAGGAGGACAACTTTAACCCCAAACCCAGGCAGATGGAGCTCGCTTAGCCCTGTAAGGCCATCCATCTCAGAGAAGGATATTCTAACTAAACCTACATCACTCTATGGTGAACTCACCACTGGCTGCTGTAACAGAGGAGCCCCAGAGAGGAGATACAAGGACTCCCTGAAACAATACCTCAGTTTTGGCCATACTGACTACCATCAGTGGTCCACCGTGGCCTCCAATCGGGAGACATGGAGACACACCATTCATGACACTGCTGTCTCCTCTGAGAACGCACGTAGAATCAGTCTCGAGGAGAAAAGACAATGCAGAAAGAAGCACGCCTTCCCAATACCATCTAAGGAGACTTTCCTTCTGCAATTGGACTTGCCTAACCCGCATCGGCCTTTTTAGCCATCAGCATGCTTGCAGCAAGCGTGGGTAGTGTCCTTCCCTTATCTTCATCCTTGAAGCCTAGCCATGATGATGATCTTAAAATTATTTGATCTTAAAATAATTTGTAGTCTCTCTTCTCTGCAAAAAAACCCCAACTTTTAAAAACTATTTTTATTGTTTTAATGCAACCTATAATATGGTTTTCATCTTAAAATGTCTATCCCTAACACACAGTTTTACCCAAGACTCAAAAACTTGCAAAGCAAATCCAGCTGAAAGTCCACCCTAAGACAAAATGGTTTTGGACATTTTTCCTCTATTTTTGCTGCACAAGTTTATTCAAGAATGTCACAGTTTGTTTTAAAGGAGAAGGCACTGTAATTATTCCAATAGTTTAAAAATTATTACCTGTTCTGTAATGCTCCATGGCATTTTTGGTAGAAAACTAAGGACACTCTGGGAAAAAGGCTGATGAGGGACATCATGTTCAAGCAAAAGAACTTCTGTCTCAGTCTCTTTATCTCCAGCACTTCCCAAGTTCTTCACAAAGTGACCCTGAGAAACAATATACATACATGTACATATACACACTCACAGATGCACATCAAGCAATATTGTTTGCTCAAAAATAACTATTTGAGACCATTATCTCATAGGTTATTAGCATATTAAACTACACAGAAGGAATAATCCTTCCTTTTTCAGTTAATTTTCTCATCTTCAGAGAAATTTAATTTCAAACATTTAATTGATTCAGTAACTCTGAACTTTGTACTTCCCCCTCTTTTTTCTGGAATGGCACTGAATTCTCCATATTAAAGATTGCAAAACATAGCAATTTAGTTTAGCAGGAAAGAAAAAGTACTACTGCATAAGAAGAAAAACTAGTAAGGTCAGATTTCTCTATGGGTTTGTGTTGTGCCACACATCCTGCTTCCTAATACATTAACTCTTCACCACTCTCATCCTCTGCAGTGTTTGTCTTAACATTCCTTCCATATATTTCAAGTTTCCTTCACTTGTCTAAAAATGGGTGAGAGCTGTGCTCCTGTTTCATTATGGTATACGCACTCCTACACAAGGCAACAGAAGCCTCTTCAAAAGCTAGTTAGTGTTCAACACAAATTAAAGCTAGTGTCCTCAATTTCTCTCACATCCTTCTCTTTATTTATAAAGAACTTTTAAAAGTTTAAAAATTATCTGTAACCCTACCCCACTGGCAATTTGACTGAACTTGCCAGGATAGTGACCAGCGTGTGGATGAACAAAGCCACAGCAAAAGGCTAACATTTCTGGGAACCCAGACTAAAACAAGATGGTCTCTAGTTAGTCTAAATAAAACACCTTAGTTAGTACATGCAGGTTCACTGCAGAACCCGAGGACCAAGCTTTTTCAGTATGATAACCCATACCTGTTGTTTGGGGACAAGAGCAAACTGAATCATTTGAGGACTTCCTTACTTTGTATCAAAAAATGGCACTCAAACTTAAAATTCATGTCAATGCTTTTTGAAGTTACTCAGCATCGCAGATAACAATAAACATCTTACCTAATAAACACAGAAATCGGACAGATAAAAGTTCAGAAGAAAACAAACGTACATTAGGATACCTGGAATTCCTGGGCCAACCGTCAATAGCAACAATTATTCTTTGTCCTTCCAATCTATCTGCTTGTCTTGTTTCTATTCGAATGCGAGGAATTCTGCGATCAGCTGGTGTAAACAAATGGCGCCTTGCCTATTAACAGCCAGAAAAGTTAACAAATACTGTCTAATAAAAGGAAAAAAAAATAATTCACACTTAAAATAACTTCTTTCCTTACCTCTTTGATCTCTGATTTGGAAAGCATGCCACAAAACGGTCGCCAGTTTCGCTTGATAATGCCCACTACTTTTCCTGTAGGTCTCAGCATGTCCTTGCTAACAGAAGTCTTCAGCTGGTAGAAAAAGCGTTAAAAACACAAAACTGAAGTCATGTCAACATGTATCTCAAATCTTGGTGGTAACAACTTATGTGTCACTATAATGCCACAAATTCCATTGCGACTTCATAAACAGAACTATGTCTCCCCGTGCTTTGCATGACTTTTAATATTTTTAGTATGTGACGTGACTACTTTGTTGTGTTGGGGGTTTTTTTAATGGACATTGTTTTAGAAAAACAAAGAACAGAAAAAGACTGAAGAAATATCACTTTGTTCCACTGTCTGCTTACTCCACCACTATCTCAATTTTCTTTTCCAAGCTATAATTATAATTTTTAGGAGCCTTTTTATGTTGCCTGAAAATTCTCCAGTAATTCTAAACACAGTAATTAAAAAAATTCCCATGGAATTCAGTGGGAAGATCATGTTTCTAAAGAGATGCAAATATTTGATGTACAGGGTACACATTTATGTGCACTGCATGCCCATTAAGCAAAATTACTGCAAGATAAAAAATATTTTATAACTGGTTCCAAAGATATGCATTGCCTATAACAGCTGACTATCACTGCAATACAATATCTGCCCCTATTCCAGCAAATCCTAATCTGCACATCACTACAGAGCTTTCTATTACTACCTGACTAACACTCAGTAACTTCTAGATTTATTAAGTGTAAGATAAAGTCGTGGGAATTTCTGATTGGGATTAAGTAAAAATATCAATTTTATACATATTCATGTATTAAACACAACTGCAGGATGATAATTAAGTTTTATGATTCCCATATTCACAATAGCTTTTAGAAGCCAGTATAAAAATGATGCATAAATCTAAGGCTTAACAACAGTCAGGGTTATTGCAGATTTCATCTCTCTAAATGTAAGTGAAGTAAAAGAGAAAAATATTTAATTCATACAATGTTCTCTTTCTCCTCTTCATTTTCAATGTCATCTTCATTCTGACCATCATCCTGCAAGACCACTGAGGATGGTCCTACCCATTCATCTTTTGCCAACAACTCCACAGCTACAATATCTTCATGAACTGCTCGGTTTAAATGTTTCAGTCCCTGTACAATTATCTGGATATTTCAGAAAACAAAAAAATGAAAATGCAAATACTCATAACAGCAAGAGAAGATCCAAATCAAAGCAGTAAAACAGAAGAGTATCCATGTATAACAGGCTCTGCACTCTAAAGAACATTTCAAGTCAAGTTTGTGAGGCATTTGCTTCCTCTGCCTAGCTCTCTTTCAGTACTGATGGTATTATTTCAGGACTCCAGTTGCCTCTAAAAAAATAATTTGTTTCTTCTAGGTGATTTTTTTTTAATCAGCCAAGCTTTCTATTTTTGCAGGCTAGGGGACTCCACAGACTACTGGGAGATAGGGAAAAAAGAAACGGAGACCCAGAGAAGCACCTCCAGCTGCTGTTACAGGGAGGAAGGAGACAACTGCTGCTGCTTGGAAACAGCGCCTGTACAACTGTACCAACAGAGAATCCAGCAGGCAGACAGCTGGGTTACTGCTTGGAGAGGAACAGCCTATCTGCTTATCACCTCACATGAAAACAGTGGGGGGAATAAAGCGAGAGTCCCATAAGGGCTCATCACAGTTTTCCTGAAAATCCTCCTACGAACTTGTTTCTCTGTCTTTCACCATATATTTCCAATTAATTAAAAAAAAAAAAAAGTGTTAGTAGTTTTTCAATTGACTTGAATATAACACCTAAGATTCAGCATTATTTATCAAATACTTTATCAAGACACAAAGTATAGTTTTAAACACATTCTCTTTTCAAAAAGAGCATAGTCAACATTTCAGTAATCTATATTCATATAAATAAACTATCAGAAACACAGCAAGAAAGTCAGAAAAACACAGAAGAGGAAAAATTACTATAATGCTCCTTTTTAACAACATATGTCACTATGAAATAATTACATTTTAAGTCATTACTGAGGCAAGCTAAAGTCCACAGCACAAAGTCAAAATAAAAAATTCACCTCTTTGTTTTCTTCAGTATCTCCATGAACCCAAACAGTAGCTTCAAGATAATTATCTCTGCTTGCCCTGTAAGTTCCTTGGAGGTAAATACCAGATTTTATTCCTTGCTGCAGCTTGCTAAGAGGAATATGTTCTGGGAAAATTATTCTTCCACTTTCTATTTCTTTCTTAAAGAAAAAAAGGAAATTTTCAGTCTTTTGTATTCATAATTATTCCAAAGCAAGCTCAGGAATATGACACTCAAGCTAGCAAACTCCAAAATTGTGTAGGTATGAATATGCACTATTATGAAAAACTACTATTAAGCAGTAATTTTTCTAATGAAGCATAAAAAGCATAAAGAACACAGAAACATGTCAATTCTACAAATGCCTCTCATTCTTTTCCTGTTCGCTTGCAGTTACTTAAAAAGATACTGCACACGTGACATACACTTTTACATTGATCTGGAAGTACTGACTAAACATATGTTTAGTGAAGAAAATACCAGCATAGCACTACATAGTAAAGAGCACAGCACACAGTGTAAGCATATACTGGAAGCTATACGGAACATTCTGAAAACACGTTCCTGTGCCTAAACTTCAGAGCAGTCAGACGATTACATCTGAATGAACTACAGCTAATCACTGAAAAAAATCCGCTGAGCCCTCCACTTCTTTCCCACTCTCGCATGTCCCACTCCATTCTGTTAGAACTGATTAAATTAACCTTTCTAGGTTTTGGTGGTGTTAGTTTAAAGCTACATCAGTCTTACATGAAAGTTTAAGTCTTGATTCTGATAAACAAAGTACAAAAAAAATGAGAGGATGTAGCTTATCTTTGAGCTGGAGTCTGCACTTTTATCAACTTAACTGACCACAAAAATCATAGCTTTTGATAGAAAATGCTTTTGATCAGCAATAAATTAGCATAAACTTGCGTAATAATGGACAGAAAACAAAGACCTAAATGGTTTGCAATATACACTTTTGTAGTTTTCATTTTGTTTCCATTATTTATACATTTTTTAACCAACTGTTACTATTCTCATCTTCACATAAGTTATCTAAAGCAACTAGCTTTATACAAATAACTAGATATTTACTAGTAGTAAGTATCATTTTTTCTCTTCGCTTGCCAAAATTTTACATTGCCGAAATGGTAATTAAGTTCAGAGTCCTCATTTTTTTAAACTCATGCTACTAATAATATATGATGCTACTCAAATAATATACTGCAAACCTTTCGTGATTTATTTTATAAAAAGAAAATAAAAACATACCCCTTCATCAGATACACAGGCAAGTCGATCTACAAGGTCAGGATTAGCCAGCAAGCTTTTTATATACTCCTCACCTGCAAAAGCACACATAAATATTTATGCAAGAGGTGCACATGATTTAAGTATGAAAACACTGCCAAGATTGTATAGCTGAGCAGTAATCTAAACATACGTGCCACTTCACTTACACGTATAGGCAGTTAGACCTTCCTCTAGAGCCTTCTCTTTATTAGTTCTGTCATTTGTTAAAAAGATAACTTGAATCTTCTCCTCATCCTCTACTTCCTTCAAGTGTTCGTTGTACCATTTTACTGCTACCCGAATGGCTCTGTCATTGCGGTCATTAGAAGTTTCTCCTTGTGTTTGCTCTATGTACGTTTCTCTAAATAAATAAAAGGAGGGGAAAACAAATCAAAACAAATCTCAACATCTATCCATAGTTACAAAAATTTTTCAGACAAGTGCAATCAAGATTGTGAGGCCAAAAGAATCACTGCTGTACCAATTTTTATAGTATGTGTAACACTTCATAGGTCACTAAAGAAGGGTCAGTGTCATCAATAAAAATAGCAAGAAAGTACTAATTTCTAATATAACCTGACAATTAAAAAGGACTGCATTCAAAATGCTAGAACTACACAATCAAGACTCCTAGAACTAGGATACTGCAGTAGTGGAAACTACTTGTAAGCACAAATAAAGGCAAATTAATTGTATCTTCATTTCTTAGAGCTTTCTGCCGTGAACCAACAGATTGTTAACATTTAAAAGGGACGCTAAAATGGAAAACCATTACTCCATTGCTCAAGTTAATCTTGACTATAAACTTTATTCAATAATCTAATCACCTTTTTATAATATATACACTTATAGTAATTCTAAAACAGAAAAGCTCCTGAAACATGCAACTACTTCCCAACAGGATTCCTTAAAGGTATACAGTTCTATACAACTCAGCCTAATTATTTTTTACCTAGTTCACATGTTCCAGTTCTGTTTTCCAGTTTCTTCTACTGGACAATTGTATGACTTTATTATAACCTGTTCCACACCTTACCGATGATGTTCATTGGTGAAAGAATAGAAATGTTTTTCAGGGTTTCCAATCACATCCCTAATTCGCTTGTACACTGGTGGACTCCGATGCTTGACTTCTTGTAAGACTGTCTGCAGCACAATGACATTCTTAATAACAGGATCTTCCAGTATATCAATCTGAGGAACAAAACAGAACTGAATCAAAATTCTTGTTTAATTCTATCCAACAACAGGACTTGAAATATTTGCTTGGTTAATACATGAAAAGCTAACATGAATAATGATGCACTACTTCTGCCTTTTTCTCTTGCTGTTGGGAAACTGAACAACATATTAAGCAGCTTCCTCCTGCTCATGGGCAAAAAGTTCAAGCATTTCCCAGCCTCTCTGTGACTTGAATTTTGCTGAAGTGAAGATAAGAACTCACTCTGACTCCCAACAGGTTCAGACCCAACACATGCAGGACTCAAATAAAATTTAAGGCCAGGTGTACAACAGAAATTTTGTTTACATAGGATAGGTTCTTGTAAATTATAATCTTCACAACCAAAATATATATATGAACAATCTGACAGTAATACAAAATTTAAAGGCTGTCTCGCCTTTTGCATAAGCAATGCAAACCACAAAATAGAGCCTGACCACTGTTACACAGCTACCATGGACATGCCTGTGCACGTGTAGACTTAAGTTCTCCAAAATAAATCCCACTGTTGCACTGCGATTTTAATTTCTGCAGATTCAAATCAAGTGGAATTCTGTTAGCTGCTCTCCACCCTCTCAAAGACCAAATGTTTTTGAGGAAATGTGTTAGAAGTTTTTCAGCACTTTTCAACTGCCAACTCCTGACAGCCGTGGTGTGCAAGGGAGACAAATGTACACCAAAAATCCACGCTCCTATCAGGAGAAAAAGATGGAAGCTTCATTTCCTAAGCCTGCAGCAAGGAACTGTGCCATGTCCCAGAAGAAACTGCAATAAGGCTCCAGAGGGCATGGTTAAAAGAATTAAAACCAATGCCAGACGAAGCTTCTGTGCAACCAGTGTTTAGATGACCTAAAAGATTTAAAGATGTGTTCATAGGGCAAGAAATCCAATCCTATTCTATACACAAGCTGAATTACCAGGCCAAATCTTACTATTGCAATCTTGCTCCAGTTGCTACGTAAAATCTTTTCCTACTGTTACCAAGACTTCCTAATCCCCACTGCTCCAGATCACGGCAGCGTAGCCTGGCTCTACAGTACACATATAGAAGCTCTGCCAGTCAACACTAAGTAGTCCATGAATAACAGGCTGAAAACATCCCTTGACTTGCTGTTTTGGAAAAAAATCCTAACTTACAACTTTGGGGATAGGTAACTGCTAAAACACGAGGGTTATGCCCCTCTGCTGAGTAATACAAGTTAGGATTCATCAATTACTTCCAGTCTCCAATGTCTGCATAGATATATCCTACTTTCAGATGTATTCAAAAGCAATCAAAAGAAAAGTCAAACATCGAGCAATTCACTGCCTCCCAGCCTGGAGTTCTGCTGTCCGCACAGCCCAGACTCAAGGCTCTGCACAATCAGTGATGGACTACAAAGTAAAGTTCCTCCCACACATCCAGAGTTGTACATGGGATGATTCTGCAGCCTCTATTCATGACCTGAAGTCAACATCGCAGTATAAAAAACCTAAGCTTACAACAGTCTCTAAAAAAGAGAACAAGTATTGGAAAATTCAGACTGATGAGAAAAATCAGTGACCACCTGAAGATCCCAATCGTTGCTTCAGTCTATTCTACCTCCCTGCGGACTTTACATAGCCGTATCCGACCACAACAAACAATAAAAAAAATGCAGTTCTATATTCCTACCGTTCAGGAAGCAAAACATAAAAGCGGAATACCGCTTAAAGCCAGACTACACTCGGTGATGCTGAAGGCCTCCTCCCTAGCTGGCAGGGAGGCAGAAGCCTACCCATTCAGGGATCCAGCAGACACAAGGAACAACGACAAAACCCAAGTCCGGCAGCGCACTGCTACACGCGCGCGCGCCCCCGCCCCCCCAGCCAATTCACACCCACAGAGATTTAATAAAGGCCGAAGCAGGGCACAGGGCCACGCAGAGAGCACGGTCGGGCCCAGAGGGAGCCGACGGGCTCTCCCTGGCGCCTGTGCCTCCTCACCTGGTGAAGGAGAAGGTTGGTGTCGGGCAGGAGGTAGTGCGGGCCGAGGCAGAGGCTGCTGGCGGCGCCGCTGGGCTGTGCCTCCAGGCCGAGGCCGG